CCCCCCCCGCAGTGCACAAATTTTTGTGCACCGGGCCTCTAGTATATAATAAAAGGCTAATATGCAAATTGACCCAACAGCAGAACGACCGGTCACTATGATGTGCACCGACCACCAGGGGGCAGATGCTCAATGCAGGAGCTGCCCCCTGGTGGTCAATGTGCCAGAAGCTGGGCTCATGGCTGGCGAGCACAGTGGCAGTGCCAGGAACCTCTCCCTCTTCCCTGGCAGTGGGACATCCCCCAAGGGCTCCTGGACTTCGAGAGGGCGCAGGCTGCTGAGGGCCTGCCCTGAGTGCATGAATTTCGTGCACTGGGCCTCTGGTTACTTTATAACCATTAGCATCAGCTCCTGGTTTTCTAACTTGTTCATGAAAATGCAGCAAGAACCATTTTCAAAATGACGTGCTGAAATATGAAACCAGCAAATCTATGTCATTTCATGGATCAACCACACCAGTAATCTTATGCAAACTGCTCTGTAATCTTGGGCCAATCCTGACCTCTCTGGGCCTCAGATGCCAGTCTCTCTACTATTTATCAAGAGCTTTCCTAAGTGTCAGATTACTGTGCCCAGCACAGTACACACCTCACCTCACTCAATCCTCTCAGTAAAACCACTAAATCCCACTTTCCACATGAGAAAATTATAGTTCAGAGAGGGCAAGGGGCTTGCCCAAGGTCACACAGCATGTGAACAGCAGGGCTCTAAGAGGAACCTAGGTGGCAATACTGAGTGCAGGTGTGCATCTCCCCATGCTGTTACCTGTATTTGTTCTTCTTCCTTGGGGTGAGGGTCGGGGTACTGCCCCTGGAGGAGGTGGTCTCACAGCTCCCATTGGCCCCCGAAGCCCGTGGAGCCTCTCTGCCCACTCCTTTGGGTCTGTTGGCCTTTTCCACCCAGGGTGGGTCAAAGTCTGGCGGCGTGGGCCGGATGCCTGAAGGGCTGCCAAACAAAGTCTCATCCACGTACGATGCCCTGGCCTTGACCTGATAGCCGCCCCTGCAGCGGTGCTGACGGTGGAGGGTCTGCATCCCTCTGATGGCCAGCTCCACAGGGGTCTTCATGCTGCCCGTGGTGCCAGGTGACAGCAGGCATGCTCTGCCCACCAGGCCATGCCTCCAGAGCTCCCTGTGAAAGGGGTCAGGGTGCATCCCTCTGTCATCGGCAGTGCCATCAGGGAAAGACTGGCAGTCTCTTAAGTCCCCATCCCAAGGGCAAAAGGGTCAAGCAGTCCCCCTCAGAGGGGAACTGCCAACCTCAGGGGACATTTCGGAAATTTGTTGGACTTTTTTTTAGTTGTCACAATGTTGGACTTTTTTTTTAGCTGTCACAAAAATGTGCTACAGGCACATTTTTAATGAATATGCATTCCTCGCATACAGTGTGTACTCGATGAATATTTACAGAATGCTAGAGGGATGAAGGAGAGACGGGGCTTGTGTCCATTTTGGCACCAACCACAAAACAAATTATGGCGGGAGGGGAAGACAGGGCAGGTCTGAATCCTGTATATATTTACGGGGCAGGAAAGAACCGGTCACTCCCACGCCTACCTCCTGCAAACCGCTTTGGAAGCTCTGTCTCACTGAATCCTCTCATCAGTTCTGTGAAGCAGCTTTATGTCTACAGGCGACAAAACTGAGGCTCCGAAAGGTGACGTCACAAGTGTCAGTCACACCTATAAAGCTAAAACAGAGGAAGCGAAATGTGAACCTGGCAGCAGTCCAGAGCTTGTGCACATAACCATTCTGCTATAGGGGGGTCACGCCCCCCCAATGCCCCACATGCCCCACCCCCAAATCAGTGTCCGGGTTGATGTCCCAGGATCCTGCATTCTTTTTTAAAAAATTTATCTTTATTGTTGAAAG